ACTACTTTAATAATCCGTGTGTTTATACACCGGAGGATTTTAGTAATCGTTTTCGGATGAGTCGTCCTCTCTTCTTACGCATACTCGCCGATGTTGAACGCGAGGTTCCTTGGTTCAACCAACGGTTTGATGCGAGAGGTCGACGCATGTTTAGTGGCGTCCAAAAGTGCACTGCCGCGCTCCGTCAGTTGGCGTACGGGACGGTATCCGATATGTTCGACGAATACTTGAAGATGTCGGCTCGGAGCATCAGGTCATGTGTTTATAAATTTTCAAAAACTATTATTCAAATTTATCATAAAAGATATTTACGCAAGCCTACAGCGAGCGACATCCAGCAGTTGCAGGCAAGGCATGCCGCTAAACACGGCTTTGTCGGCATGCTTGGGAGTATTGATTGCACACGTTGGGAATGGAAAAATTGTCCCACTGCGTGGCACGGTCAATTCTCCCGGGGAGATCATCCCAAGCCTACCATCATGCTCGAAGCTGTTGCTTCGAATGACTTGTGGATTTGGCATGCTTTTTTCGGTGTCGCAGGCTCGAACAACGACATCAACGTTCTCGATCAATCGCCTGTTTTTTACGATTGGGTTAATGAGACCGCACCGGACTCCTCTTTTGAGCTTAGAGGGACGCTTTACAAGCGTGGATATTATTTGGCCGATGGAATATATCCGGATTATTCCACAATTGTGAAATCCCTCTCCGAACCAATGGGTCTTAAACGCCAGACATACAAAAAAGCTCAAGAGGCGGCGAGAAAAGACATTGAACGAGCCTTTGGGGTCTTGAAGGCTAAGTGGCACATTCTAGACCGTCCGTCGAAATGTTATTCTCAGACAAAAATGAGGAATATCATGTACGCATGTATTATTCTTCATAATATGATCATAGAGGATAATGAGTCTGCGATTTGTCAATACAACCCGGACGAGGAGGTGCCTATGTACGAAGAAATCACCGAAGAAAAGAAACGATGCAACCGCCAAGAAAATCAAAGCCGAGAGATTCACAATGCATTAACGGCGGATTTGATCGAGCATATCTTTAGTCGTTCGAATAATTAGTGATTTCTTTGTACTGTTGTTTTTTTTAAGTAATTTTTTTTATGAATGTAATTTTTTTAATGTTTTTTTTATGAATGTAAGATTTTTTTTATAATGAATTTAATTTTTTTAATGCACTAGTGTCATTGTGATTAATTAAAATAATAAATTATTTTAAATTTATTAATTTAAATTTAGAAGATGTATATTTAAAAATGTAAAAAATGAAGGTTTGAAGCCCCAGTTTGAAGCCCCGGGGCTTCAAAACCATTTCCAGTGAATTTTTGGTGTAGGTTAAAGCTGACGTGGCAGAGAGAGAAACTTTGAAGCCCCGGGGCTTCATGACCATTTCCAGTGCTCTAATAAGGGCATTTTTTTTTTATTAAATTCTAAAGTTGGATGTTTTGAAAAAATTAGGAGATATAAAATGTTAGAAAAATTTTGGAGTAAAAAAAGTATCCTTGTCGTGTTTGAGTTAGTATGTTATAAATTTAGATATATTATATTATTGTATATTCATCATACTGATTTTTAATCTTCACACTTTCTTTTTTGGTTCGTCCACAAACTATCTTTTCGTTTTCTTTTTTGACATTTTTTTGAATGCTAAAATGTTACCTTTACCCTTTAACCAAAATATACTCCCTCTCTTTGCGCTTGCCCTAAATCCAAATTTCTGGATATTTTCTCCTCCACTATCTCTTAATAACATTGTTTTCATTATTATACTTATACAACATTGCCCCCTACTAGCGCCAAACATTTCTACACTAAATGTACGCATGCCATATTTTAAATTTGTGTATTCAGTAGAGTTTAGAGGCTATGGAGAGTTTTGACCAACATTAAAATTGATTTAAAATTAATTGGAGGTAGTCTGATTGAACTCAAATGCATAGAAGGCTTACTAAAATTCTAGGGTAAAAAAACAAAAACATTTTTTAGGTAAAAATAATTTGCTTCCTTTCTTAAGTTTTAACTTTCTCATGTGATTGATCTGAATGAATTTATTAGAGTAAATTTCCAAAATAGTCCTTTGTAATAAGGGATTTTCCCAAATTAGTCCTCAGTAAGTTTTAATTACCTACATGGTCCTCTATAATTGAGATTTATTCCCAAAATAGTCCTTTGTAATACGATATTTTCCCAAATCAGTCTTCAATAAGTTTTAATTACCTAGGTGGTCCTCTATAATTGAGATTTATCCCCAAGATGATCCTTCATAAATAATGTTACTCAAATGAGGATTAATTAAGGTTATTTTTTCTCTGCTAAATTTAGAATTAATTCTTAAAATAATCATTTATAATGAAGTGCTTTCCCAAAATGGTTTTTCTAATTAAAGATGTGTATTTGATTTGAAATTTAAAAGATTTTTTAAGTTTTAAATAATTCATAAATTATTTATGAGTAAATTCTCAAAATGGTCCTTTGTAATAAGGTGTTTTCCCAAATCAATCCTCAAATGAGGATTAACTGGGAGATATTTTGGTATTTTGATAATCCAAATTTAAAGTATATTTTTGAAACAATCATTTCTGTACAACTAAATGTAAAATTTAAAAAATACATTGAGTATAAATAATTTATGAATTATTTAAAACTTAAAAAAAATCTTTTAAATTTCAAATCAAATACACATCTTTAATTAGAAAAATCATTTTGGGAAAGCATTTCATTATAAATGATTATTTTAAGAATTAATTCTAAATTTAGCAGAAAAAAATAACCTCAATTAATCCTCATTTGAGTAACATTATTTATGAAGGACCATCTTGGGGATAAATCTCAATTATAGAGGACCAC